GTGTGTGTGTCTCTGTGTGTGTGTGTGTGTGTGTGTGTGTTGGAGCACACATGTGTGCTGTGAGTATGTATGACAGAAGAGGGCAGTGGGTGTCCTTTATCACTCTGCCATTCCTTTCAGGCGGAGTCTCTCCCCAAACCTGAAGCTCTCCTTTTTTCTGCATAAGCTAGTAGCAGGCAAGCCCTAATGATCCTCGTGTCTCTGCTCTCTTCCCTCCTACAGCACTGGGTTATAGGCATGTGCAGGACTGTAGCCAGCTTGTTTTTTAGGTGCTGAGATCTGAACACAGCTCCTCATAGTTATACAACAAGCACTCAACCATTGAGCCATCTCTCTGGACCCACTAGTTCAGTGACTGAGACCAAAGTGCTGAGCTTTCTTATGACCTGTGAACACCAGAGAACAAGCTTGTCATCTGCCACCTCACAGCCTCACAAGGCCTGTGTATGTGGAAGTGTCTTCCAGTTTCTGTGATCCAGCTGCTTGGTTTTTCACTTGATCCCTTGACCTCTCAGAGACAAAGCTATCTCTGCTGTGAGAGCTGCAAAGGGGCCTTTTAGACCTCTTCATGTCTGCATGTCTTCATGTCTGTAGCCATGAAAGTACCTCCTGAGTGCCTAGCTTCCTCAGGGGTTGTCAGCTCTGCCCCCTAGTCTTTTTTTTTTTTTTTTTTTTTTTTTTTTTTTGAGGCAGGGTTTCTCTGTGGCTTTGGAGGCTGTCCTGGAACTAGCTCTTTTAGACCAGGCTGGTCTCGAACTCACAAAGATCTACCTGCCTCTGCCTCCCAAGTGCTGGGATTAAAGGCGTGTGCAACCAACGCCCGGCTTTCCCCTCTAATCTTTATGGAGAGGTTGTGAGCAGGAGACAGATAGCTTCTGAGACCTCATTTCCCAGCAGCTGCCTGCACACTTTTGGGGGACCGTGGCTGGATATTTGTCCAGAACTCTCACCCCTGTCTCCTTTGAAACAGGAGGATCATGACATCATGGAAGCTGACCTGGACAAGGAGGAACTGATTCAGCCCCAGCTTGGAGAGCTCTCAGGCGAGAAGCTTCTAACCACAGAGTACTTGGGAGTAAGTGCACATGCTGGAAGTGTCCTGGAGCAGGACAGGCAGAAGGACAGGCATGATTTAATGCCTTCCGAAACACAGGGTTCAGTAGGGCCTGGGTTATGAAAAGGCCTGTGTTAGCCGGTTGCTCTCAGTGGCCCTGAAGTGCCTTGGAGAACCTGTCAGAGATAGACCTCCTGGTGTCTGGAAGTGGAGTTGGGGAGAAATAGGAACAACAGGGCCTGCCAGGAGTCCTCACAGTGTCTACAGCGTCACCCATGGTAGTGGTCAGCCCCAGCTGAGTCTTCTCATTTCCATGTGTGGTAGAACCTGAGGTCGAGGGCAGCCAGGGGCCACCTCATGAAACTCTGCGGGTCACAGCAGGGATGTGGATTGTAGGCTGCATAGGCACTAGGAAACCACAGGAGTGAGCGTAGGGGAAGGACTCGGTTGAGGATGCGCTCATTTGATAGAGGGCCTGTGCAGCATGCATGAAGCCTTGCGTCCCATCCTGAGCACCGCAACCTTGTAATCCCAGCACAGAGGAAGTGGAGGTGAAGAAGACCTGCAGTTCAAAGTCATCCTCAGTTACGTGTGAATCTGAGGCCTGCTTAGGCTATATGAGATGCTATCTCAAAAATATTTTACCAAAGTATAAATAAGTAAATTAAAACATATCAACTTAGATTCACACTCTGGCTACTTTGTGAAAAATGGAGTTGGGGGCAAGAATGAAGGACGAGAAAGAAGTAAGTGATTGGAGAAAACTGGAAGAAGGCCAGCTGCTGCCACCCAGTTAGGAAAGGTCTGCTGGAGAGTACCACCGTTGTCCTCAGAGTCTATCATGGACCAGAAGAGCCCAGCCTGACTATGGAAGCTCCATTCCTGTTAGGTCAATGCAGTGATGCTGGCAGAGATCAGGAGGGGAACCAGCCAGGGGCTCCAGGTTGCTGGTGACAGTCCTGAACTATCACTAGACTTTTGTTTCTCTTGGGGAGCACGCTGGCTTCTCTGAGAGACTTGACCACGTGATAAAATACGCTTCTTCAGAGCAGGGAAATCGGGTGAGCAGAAGAGGCCAGTGGGCGGGGTCCTCTGCAGGACTTGGCAGAACACCTAGGACTGTACCTCCGACTCCACAGTGCCCAAATGCCAGCAAAGGGATTGATTGTGATTTTGTCAGACATAAGCCTAAACACAAATTCTCAGTTAATTTTTTTGGCTCCTCTACATAGTATACTGCCATGAGTGAGGTGTTATGTAGATATAATGACAGTTTTTAACAACAAAACCTGAGGCAAAGCATACTGGGACTGCCACTTTGGTTGAACATTCTGGTGGGGTGCAAAAGACAGATTTCAATTAGTAACCACAGATGATGGGCACTTGGAAATGGCATCGTTTCACCATAATCCACACTCAGAACCTCCTCAATGCATGTGTATCCCTTTGTCTATAGAAGGAATGGTTTGGATCCCACAGAAAAGTTCCACACACTCTTGCTTATCTCGTTGGTGTCTGTTACCACTGTGGAGCAGTGGGCAGTCAGAATGAGGACAGAAAGAATTGCTTATGTAGAGGTGAAGACCAAGGGCATCCATTTCCCATGGCTGCAGGAACAAAGGACCACACACTGGTTGGCTTGAGACAGAAACGTATTCTGTCATGGTTTTGGGGAGCAGAGGTCCAAACTCCTGGTATTGGCAGGGCTGGGCTGCCCCTGAAGCTCTGAAGGAGAGAAGCCTTCCTTGATTCTTCCATCTTACAGTGGCCCAGGTGATCCTTGGCTTGTGGTCACATCACTCTGGTCTTTGCCTCCATCTTCAGTGGCCTTCTTGATTTCAAAGATCCTTAATTGTATCTGCAAAGATTTTTTTAAAATATTTATTTATTATGTATCCAGATCTCATCATAGATGGTTGTGAGCCACCATGTGGTTGCTGGGAATTGAACTCAGGACCTCTGGAAGAGTGCTCTTAACCACTGAACCATCCCTCCAGCCCCACAAAGTTTTGTTTTTTTTTTTCAAATAAAATCTTATCCACAGGTACCAGGGTCAGAGCATGCGTGTATTTTTGGAGACCTCTAACCCCAGTCCAGGTCAGGAGCTCATCATAGAAACATGTTAATTTAAATTGTGTATACAACTCAGTTGGGGGCAAAGCCATAGTCACTGAGGCCATGTGTGCATTCCTAGTGCTTCCATCATTCATAAAATCACCCTAAGCTGTTTCTTTTCACCCAGAGTGGTGACCTGGAATTGCCAGTCTGCAGCCTGTGCATTCTAGGCCAGGGTCTTGTCTTGCATTAGTGCTCCTAGTGCACAAAAAGACTTAATGTCACATCTCATAACTGCATGAGCCAAATGAGGGAAACTATACTAGTGACTTTTACTATGACAGAGCACCTAAAAGGGAGTGAAAGTTTGTTTTGGCTCATAGTTCAAGGCGTATGGTCCATCTTGGCTTGAAGGGGAAAGTGTGTTAGCTGCCAAGACTTGGTCCATGGCAGTAGGAACTTGTATGGCTTGGTCATGCTGTTGCCATCAGGAAGCAGAGGGCTGGACTAGAAACAGAACCAAGCTATCCTTCCAGACCTGTGCTGGGGACCAAGAGCCTGTGAGGACATCACATTCCAGCCAAAACACTGGCCACAGGTCACAGGCATTTCTCTGCTGTGTATGTGCCTGGAAGTCATGCCTTGGGGCTTTCAGCGGGACCCAACAAAGGTCTCAGGCTGAGTCTGAAGATGTTCGATTTTGAAACATTTCCTCAGAAATGTTTCCTAGATTCACAGACTTCATCTTGAAGACCATTTCCCTGTTCTAGCAGAATGGTGATGAAGTTCAAGGCGCAGCAACTGCCTTCATGGAGTCCACCAAAGACAACAATGAACAGATAGAACTAATTGCTCCTAACAAGAGGTTCAGATAAGAGCTGTGGAGGACAGAAGAGCTTACCTGAGACCTGCCTGTAGTCCCTAGCATGTCCGGATCTACTATTGATTTAAAAATCAGCATGAGGACTTGAGGCAGGAAAAGAGGCAAGGTACAACCAGGACAGCTTGCCAAGATGCACAGGCCTGGAAGGGAGTTGTCCCTGGGTACCTGCTATGCTGCCCCTCCCCCCACAAAGATCTATGTATCAGAGCACACAGCACCTCTGCACCAGAGAGCCAGGCCATGCCAAATGCTGCAGAGGAGAGACAGTTACTCTTCCAAGCATACAAGAGAATAGCAGTGGTCACATCCATCATGGTGCTTGCCCATAATTCTAGTTAAGCAAGAGTATTCTGTAAAAACATACCTTGTATCTTAGTTACTATGCTATCGCTGTAAAGAGACACCATGGCCAAAGATACTTATAACAGAAAGCATCTAACTGGGGGGTTGCTTTCAGTTTCCAAGGTTTAGTCCATATTACTGTGGCAGGGAGCATGGTGACAGGCAGGCAGGCAGACACGGTGCTGGAGCAGTTGCTTAGAGCTTACATCCTGACCCAAATACAGGAGGCAGAGAGAGAAGGAAAGTAGGCATGGACACATCCTGACCCAAATACAGGAGGCAGAGAGAGAAGGAAAGTAGGCATGGGTGGGCTTTTGAAACCTCAAAGTCCCCCTCTAGTGACCTTTACTTCCTTTTAACAGCCACTGGCCACCAATATCCATGTCTCAGCTAACGTCCTCTTGACTACTCAGTGAAACTTGGAAGTGTGTGGCTAAGCACAGATCTCTGGCCTCCAGGGAGGGACCCTAAAGCCGAGAATGCACTGAGGATGGCATCTGATTCCCATAGGAAAGACCTCATCCTCAATAAAGACAGTGTCTGAAGCCAATAGAAAAGTCCTCCCTGCCATGACCCTGTTAGCCCTCCCCACCTGTTGACAGGTTCAGATTAGCTCATTCTCTCTCTCTCTCTCTCTCTCTCTCTCTTCTTCTCTCTTTTGTGTGTGTGTGTGTGTGTCTGTCTGTCTGTCTGTCTGTCTGTCTGTCTGTCTGTCTCTGTCTCTCTCTCTTTCCCTCTCCCCCTCTCCCCCCTCTCTGTAAACATATTGATTCATGGCTTTATTCTCTGTGAGTGTAAAAGCTCATGGAACTCCTCAGGATGACTTGGAGCCATGCTCCTGAACCATGGTCATTCATATTTAGCACAGAATAAGTTTTCTTTGCAGCAGAGTTGTTATTTTACATTTACAAAGTGTGATTTTTTTAAAAATCTTCATTAGGATAAATTTGTAATGTTTTCTACTGAGAGATAAAAAATGACAAGAAATATTTTTACAAGGTGTGTTTAGACAGAATTCTCTTAGCCCATGACTTCCCAACCAGGAACGTCTCTACTGGTGATACAGGAAAGTCAGTTCTCACGTGAAGGGTTTTTCTCGTTTCTATGAAGAAAAGCAGGGAAGTTAGAGGCCATTCTTGCATCTGCTCTGTTTCAAGTGTCTTTAACTCAAAATAACCTGTATGCCAAAGTGGACTGTTTTGGAATGATTGTCTACCACCCTCCACCTGTGAGACAGGCTTTCCATGTTTCTTTGTACACTGAAATTTGAAAATACTCTGATAACATAGTAAATCCCTACACTAGGAGAGCAAGTATTTAAACTTATGTGACTGTGAATCAAAGTTTTCCTACTAAACTCAAATTAAATGCAACCTCAGCTCAGCTCAGTGTGTCTTCAGCAAACTGAAACTTTTCTTTGATCATTCCAGCATCAAGTGGCATAAGGGGAAGAGAAGGGGAGTCAAAAGGACAGATGGCAGCATTAACCGATTGCTGTCAAAAGACCGTTATGAACACAACACTAGGACCCTCCTAGAGCCTTGAAGCTTAGATCTCATTGGCTCTGTACCTCTGTCTCAGTGCTGTCTATTATATGCTAGTGGTCTCTTGGTCATGAGATGACTGACAGCTCCTGCCATCATCTGTAAAGTCAGGAAGGGGCCAGCCACACAAGCCAGCTACACCTGTCAACAGTGCTTTCCCTAAAATTCACTCTGGTGTCCTCCATTTCTTATGCCTGAAAATATGGTCATGTGACCCTAAGCTACAAGAGAGTTTGAGAAGATGAATTCTTGTTAACTAGACACACTGCTGTGTCAACAAAGTAAGTGTTGTGTTGATGAGGGAGTAAATAGTAGTCAGCGAACAGTGTCCACTGCTTCCAGGTCATTTTTTATGTGTACAGAGATGATGGATGGATGGATGGATGGATGGATAGATAGATAGATAGATAGATAGATAGATAGATAGATAGATTGATTCTGTGTTTTCTTTTTTATTTGTTTATTTGGGGAGTTGTTGTTGTTTGTTTTTGAGACAGTTTTTCTATGTAGCAGCCCTGGCTGCATCTTGTCCCTGGAAACCTATTCCTTTTAGTCCACTCAGCTTCTGGGTAGCTCTTAGGAACACACTGTCTCAAACCTGTTTCTTACTTCCATCAGATCATGACCAACACTGGGAAGGCACGGCGGAAAGGGCCGGCCAGTGTGCAGTGGAGTGGGGATGAGCCCCTGCGTCGGCCCGTCACCCCTGGTGGCCACAGGACAGGGTGCCCAGTGTAAGTTCGGGATACAGAATCGGGAGTCTATTTTTGTAAGCTCTGCTTGGATTAACTGCTGTGGAATATTGTTAAAGTGCACAATAAAGCGTTCATACTGGAAAGCGCTTCTCCTTATCGTTTATCTCTTGAGCATGTGGGGAGGAAAAGATGTGAGGTCCCATCTCCCCATACACACTTAGGTTTCTTCCAGAAGGAGAAGTGTGTGACTTGCTAGAATCCAAAGACCAGTGTTGCCCAGGGTCATTTCAGAAGAAAGTTACTGAGCAGTGGGGGTTCAGCCAGTTTGAACTCCTGCCCTGTTGTTCATTCCTGTGGCCTCTCCCCATAACACCAGGCCTGATGCTAGTATTCAAGTGTCACAGCTCTATTTTAGACAAGGCTCTCAGAGCAGCTATGTGGCCTAGGGTGTGCACGAAGCCCTGAGTTCTATCCCCAGCACAGGAAAAAGAGCAGTCATGTCTGTTTTTAGCTGCCAGGCACTGTTCATTTTTCTGTAGCCTGGTTTCCACCTCTTGACAGAAAAATAAAACTTCAGTCAGGTCACCTGTGCTTCTGAAAGGCTTGAGGCTGAGCTGCCAGTCAAGAGTTCCTTCTGGGATTTACATGCCCCGTCTTTTCCTAAACTTGGAAGACTATAAACAGGTGTGCATGTGTCACAGAGAGCTGGCTGACAGCCTCTAGTCACCCACTCGGTAGTTGTGGCCTTATCCTAATGGCCACACCGTATTTTCCTTAGTCCCTATTGCTGGACAGTTCGATTATTTCCAGTTTTCCTGTGTGGTAACTTTACAATAAACCAGGAGGCACTGAACAGCCTGTCATGTGTAAATACCTGTCATGTAAGCTCCACGCCACAGCTACTGGGACACCCGTGTCCAGACCACTTGTTGCCAAGCTTTGGCACACATCTGGAATCTGATGTATGACACTTCCCAGCCCACACCATGGACAGGTGCTCTGAGGTCTGTTTGATTAAATACCTTGTGCTTCTGTTTCTAGGTTTTTGTTTTTAAATATTGCTACAGAAATCAGTATGTGTCCTTTTCTCTCTCACATAACCGGCACTTTGACCATGCAGCCAAACTGAGAGAGCATCTCACTAAAGAGACCCTAGCATTCATGTTGCCTCTTCTCTCACTCACTTGCTTTCTATATGTATAACACAGCATTACAAGCACACTTGTCTTGCTTTTAAGAGATTTACTTATTGTGTGTAGGTGGGGGATGCTCTTGGAGACTAGAGGAGGGCGCCAGGTTCCCTGTGCTGGAGTCATGCGGGATTGTGACCACCTGACATGGGTGCTAACGCTGAGCCATCTCTCCACACCTTTGTTTGTTTCTGTTTTGTTTTGTTCTTTAAGACAGGGTCTCACTTTGTAGATCAGACTGTCCTGGAACTTACCATATAGCCCAGGCTGGCCTCAGACTCACAGGGTGTTAGGATTAAAGGCTTCTGCCACTGCCCTCAGCCTTCCAGACCCTTGTTCTTCGGTTTGTTTGTTGAGTCAAGGTCTCACTATGAATCACTGGCTGACCTCGAACTCACTATGTAAAGTAGGCTAGCTCCTAACTCTAGGGCTAGGATCTAAGGTGTACACCACTAAGCCTGATCTTCCCTGTTTTGTATCTTGTGGTCCAGACTGATCTCGAACTTGCTATGTGACTGAACGACAGCCTTATAGTCCCATACCACCATTCCTGGCATATACAGCTTTTTGTTTGTTCATTTGTTTTTGTTTTGTTTTGTTTTGTTTTTTTCGAGACAGGGTTTCTCTGTGGCTTTGGAGCCTATCCTGGAACTAGCTCTTGTAGACCAGGCTGGTCTCGAACTCACAGAGATCCACCTGCCTCTGCCTTCCGAGTGCTAGGATGAAAGGCGTGCGCCACCAACATCCGGCTTTGTTCATTTGTTTTTAGTTTAGTTTCTTACTGAACTGTTTAAAAGGGAGTTACAGACCCTCAGTGTTTACCTCCTAAGAATAAGAACACCCTCATACAGACAGCTGTGCAGTTTCCATGATATAATCAGTACCCTATGTCCGTAGATTGAAATGTCACACTGTACCGTAAATATGTGCAAACACTGTGGTGACTAGCCAGAAGCATATTTTTAAAGAACAACCACTTAACCACACCCGTAAGTTAACAGTGGTGTGAACTGCATCAGCATGCCTTTCTTGCCCTCCAGTGAGTCACTTGCATCCGAGGGGTTGTGTGTGTTGATCTAGAACCGTGACAGATGAGTTCTAGTCATCGTAGTTTAAATGGTCCATTTGGGATAGAAACAGCAAGAGGAACTGATGAAATTCCCGCTGGGCATGGGAAAGAAGACAGCAATCTCTTCAACTTTCAGAAAATGATTAAAACCCTGGCTTCACAGCAAGGCAACCATGACATAAGAAACATAAGGGCATTTCAATCAGAGGTGACCGTGAATCTAACGAACTTAACACCTGACCAAGGAGCACCGTTCATTCTTGGGCCAGGTGACCTGTCCTGTGAAGAGACCCTAGAGTATGCTTTTCCAGAGTTGAGGCTCAGCTGGCTCCCCTACTGGAGATCATGTCTGGGAGGTATTTGGCCAGGGTGGACCTGCCCAGCTGTGAGAACATTCCTGAATCAGTAGTCCCACCCTCCATGAAGCAGTGGCTGCTCCCAAGTCCCTCTACCAGGTAGATTTAGCAAACTTTTCTTTTTTTGAGACAGGGTCTCATTTTATAGCCCGGGCTGGGCTCAAACTCACCTATCCTCTTGCCTCAGCCCCTCAGTGCTGGAATTACAGGTGTGTGTCACCACCTCCAAGTTCAACATTGATTTCATTTCTATGACTGAGGGGGTGTGAGTCCCAGGGACCCAAAAATAAGTGAGATTCCTGCCCTCAGGACTCAGAGCAAATCATGTAGGAGAAAAGACATGGAGAGGTCTGCTCAGTGTGACATGATAAGAATGTGACAGTGTTCAGAGAACCCGCAGCACCTGACAACCGGGAGTGATGGTGATCAGAATTCCTACCCCTGCTTCTTGAATTTACACGCAAGGAATTTGATTCTCCATTCACAACCACAAACCCCTTGGGAACCCTACATTGCTTGTAAATCAAGAACCTTAGCATTCCTGGGGACACTTAGTTAATATGTGCTCCACAGATTCAAGAGGTCAGTGCTTTCTGGGTCAGTTGCTCTACCCTGTAATTCACAGATCTGCACAGGGTACTTGTTACTGTGTTGATTATGAAGAAATATCTACATGCCCAGCATGGAAGCCTGGCTACCCAAGTTATGGTCAGGAACAGTATTGGAACTATGTAGCAGCATTAAGAATAGTTGGTGACGGGGGCTGGAGAGATGGCTCAGCAGTTAAGAGCACTGACTGTTTCTTCCAGAGGTCCTGAGTTCAATTCCCACAACTACATGGTGGCTCACAACCGCCTTGAATGAGATCTGCATGCAGGCAGAAGACTGTATACATAATAAGTAAATAAAATCTTTAAAAAAAAAAGTATTTATCTGCATGCAGGCAGAAGACTGTATACATAATAAGTAAATAAAATCTTTTAAAAAAAAGTATTTAAAAAAAAAAAAGAATAGTTGATGACATGGGGTGATCCTCACAATGTGACAAGTGTTGAGTAGAAAAGCAAACTGTAAAGGGGTGTGACTGGCCACCTGTGAAGAGCCAGACTGGTCCCAGGTTCTTTTAAGTACATTTCTGCCATGTTTTTTTAGACAGGCTCTCACTATGCAGCCTTGGCTGGCCTGGAACTTACTATGCCTGGCCTTGAATTTGCAGAGATCCACCTGCCTCTGCCTCCCTAAGATGTGTACCACAGTGAGACAGGGTCTCAGGTAGCCCAGGCTGGCCTGGAATTGTATTTCCTGAGGATGACTTTCACGTGTCCATTCTCTTGCCTCCACCTCCCAAGTGCCAGTTTAGAGGCACGTACCAACATGCCTGGTTAATGCAGTGCTGAGGGCCTCCTGTATGCCAGGCAGGCTGTCTACCAACTGAGCCATGTTCCCAGCCACATATTTGCATGTTTAAGAACACTGAAACGTAGCCGGGCATTGGTGGCACATGCCTTTAATCCCAGCACTCGGGAGGCAAAGGCAGGCAAATCTGAGTTCAAGACCAGCCTGGTCTACAGAACGAGTTCTAGGACATCCAGGGCTACACAGGGAAACCCTGTCACAAAAAAAAAAAAAGTGTTTTATCCAGGTGGTGGCTCTACTTGTCATCCCAGCACTTGGGAGAAGGAAATAGGAAGGTCAGAAGTTCAAGGTAATTCTCGGCTACATGATGAGTTCGAGGCCAGCCTGGGCTACTTGAGATGCTGTCTTTTAAAAATGCTGGCAGATAAGATGGCCCAGCAGGTAAAGGTGCCCACTCATCGCCAAGCCTGATGACCTAAGTTCAGTCACCACGTTCTCACAAGATGGGAAGAGAACCAACTGCTTTAAGCTGTCTTCAGGCTTCCACATATGTGCCATGGTGCGAGCACACAGGCACATGCACACAGTGGATAAATATCATTATTTAACTTAAAAGGGCAAAACTAAAAACAAAAATATGTTTTAAAATATCCATTTCCCAATATAGCCTCAGTTACAGCCACCTCCTGTGTCTCTTTGTGATGCTACGAAGCCAAATAGTCTAGCTGAATTGGTGCTCTCCAGGGTCAGTGAGAAAACCTGCCTGAAATACCTGCCTGCTATCTGTATTTAGTGGCTTTTCCCATGTTTTTCTGCAGACTGGGAGACCATCTCGTTTCTCTCCAGAATGCCCAACAAGCCAGAAATAGCTGCCTGCAGGCCCTACCAGCCACTCAGCCGGACATCTGCAAAGGGGGCAAACTTGGTGATGCTGAGCGTGGCACCTCCTCGTCATGTAAGAACACTGCATGCAGAGGCAGTCTGAGCTCTCGGGTTCAAGAATCCATGTGAAGCAACAGCAGGGCAGGCCCTGCTCCTGGGTCACAGACTGTGTGCTTTATTTTGTATGTGCCTGGGGCCATACATGAGGTGTCTTTATCACTCTCCACCTTAGTTTTTGAGGCAGGGTCTCTCACTGATCCTGGAGCCCACTGATGCAGTTAGACCGGCTGGCCAGCAAGCCCCAGCGAAGGTTCTGTTTCTACCTCTGCGGTACTGCGATTACAGGTGCACACTGCCATGCCCTGGTGTTTGTGTGGGTGCTGGGGACTGAACTCGGGCTTCATGTTTTCAGAACAAGCCTTTACCGACTGAACTATCTCTGCAGTCCCTGGGGTTGAGTACTTTATTTTAAAATAGATTCATTTAGTTCACCGTTTAGGAAATTGGAAATATTAAGACCTTGTGTTCCCATTGCTTCAGCCTCTTGCTAGGGCCTCCTTGGTTATGTCAACGTATGGTAGATGGCACTATGGTGAGCACACACACAAGAGTCCCTGAGCATATGGCAAGACAAGAAGCCAGCAGCCAGAGGGCCAGGCTTGCTCTTTTGATTTTATAGCAATTCATCTTTGAGGGAACCAACAAGATTCCCACAGTATCTACATCAACATCCTTGACCAAGTCACCTTGCCCTAGACCCCACATCTGCAGGTCTCACTGCCTCTGCACTGCCAAATGAACCCTTGGGGGGCATTCCAAACCTTACCTAAACCATCCCAGTGTAGGCCTGTGTCTCACGCTGAGCGTTCAGCCTCATGGTAGAGGCTCCATGGTGTCAGAATGTGCGGTTGAGCACACAAACAGCCCTGAGGTTGGAATGTGCTTTGAAGCAGTCAGTCAGTGAGCTAAACAGAAACTGGTGAACTGGTGAGGCATAAAAATATATTTTAGATGCTAGGCATGGGGTGTGGAGGGGTGAGCATTTTGATCCAGAAATATACAGAGTATTTCTCTTTTAATTTTCAAAAGGAAATTGAAAGGATTGTGAGTAAGCCAGATAAGACTCTAATCTCCATTCAGATAGGAAAAGCCACAGATCTCAGGAGGGGTTCTGGTCTGTCAGCTCACAGTTGGTTGGAGTCAGAGGCTCCCATGTCCACATGCTGAGGAACCAGCTAGTTACGGATCCCAAGGGAGATCCCCGTGGCTCGGGAGGGGGCACTCAAGGGTCCTTTTGGTTAGGAGCAGCTTCAGGGTTTTTGCCAAGTCACTGGTCATTGGTCATTGGCCTGCATTTGCAGCTGTAAGTCCTATAAGAATGCCTTCACCATGAGGTATTAGCTTGGCATCCAAGATGTCTGCTGGTTCTGCTGATCTGGAGGCTGAGGGTCTCTTTAGATGTACTTTGTTCTGAGGTGCTCATACACACCAGCAAGTGCTTTACCACTGAGCCACACCACCAGCACCTGTTTCCGTCTCTCAGATAGATTCATCATGCTGTTGGGGTTCAGGGGTACTTGAGCTCGTGCACAGAAATGGTTAGGTGGCATTGGTGGCAGTTGCCAAAGTCAATATTGATAATCAGTAATTTTCAAGAACAGCTCACTTCAGGCCAAGGGTATAGTGGCACGCGTGTGTCATCCCAGAACACGCCACAGGCAAAAGCAGGAGGACTGTAAGTTCTAAGCCAACCTGATCTACTCAGATCTGTTAAGGAAGGTAAGGCAGGAGGAAAGAGACAGGAAAAAGAGAGGGAGACAGCGGCAGATGTAGAAAGAATATGAGTGAACATGAATCAGTTTGAGCCCTAGCAAACTCCAGTTTCTTACATGAGTTCCATCGGGGCACTCTGCCTTGGTAGTTATGAGAAGTTCCCAGGGCCTTTGCAACAGCTGCACACCAGGCCCCGGCCCCTGGGCTACCTAGAACCTGGGCAGCTGTTTCTCCCAGATGAGCACACCCCGCCAGCCTGTTCCAAGTGCTGGGACAGTCTTCCAAGTGTCAGCTCCTTACCCTGACCCAAATGCTTGGCCGGTCTGGGTCCCAGGCTCTGCATTGCATCCCACTTCTGTGTTGGCCTCATTATACGAAACCTCAGCCCTGTCTCCATTGTCATCTGCTAGCCAGGCCTCTGGGCTGTTTTGTTGAGGCATTTGATTTGCATTTGTTCTGTTCCTGGTGTAGACTTCACCTCTCCTCTACCGTCTTTCAATCTGGCCCAGCCACATCCACCCAGCCCCTAAGTACACCAGTGCCAATTAATCATCCATTGGCCGCCTGCTCCCTCTGATGGGTCTCAAGAGATTCTGCAGCTCTCATCAGCCCTGGCCTGAGGGAATGATGGTTCGAACTCTCCCTGCCCCATCTTGTCTACTGTTTTATTTCTTCCCATTGGACACTAATTGGCCTGAGGAAAGTTCTTCCCCAGCCACCAACACATAACTTGAGTGTCAACCACATACCAATTAGGCCCTGTAATCCCAGAACTCAGAAGCAGAGGTAGGAGGATTGCTGCAAGTTCAAGGCCAGACTGGTCTATCAAGTGGTTTTCATCCTACATCCTGATATCTCACCTTTCAGAGGTAGGAGGATTGCTGCAAGTTCAAGGCCAGACTGGTCTATCAAGTAGTTTTCAGGGCCAGCTGGGCTACATCCTGATATCTCACCTTTAAAAAAAAATCACACAGGTGAGCAGATGTGGGGTTCAAGTGCCCAGCACCGTCCGAAACGGACCAGCCACAGAAGAGTCATCACGCCTGTCCCCGTAGCTGCCTGTGTGCACCAGTGGTGTTCCCAGATCCTGGTTCTCACCATGTGCCCATTTTACTTAGGTGGGACCCCAGAATCTACAGTGTGGCGCATGAGGAGAGAAGTGACTAAAGAAATGGGATACCTTAGTTGCTGTGATAAAACACCTTGGCGAAAGCAACTTAAGGAAAAAGGGTTTATTTGGCTCACAAGTTCTGATGACAACCCATCCTTGTGAGGAAGTCAAGGCAGTAGGAACTGGAAGTAGCCAGTCATATTACACCCATGTGCAAGAGCAGAGAGAAATCAGTATGCAAACATGCTAGTGTTCTGCTTGCTTTCTGCATTCTTACACGGTACAGGATACCCTACAGCCCAGGGAATGGTTCCACCCTCAGTGGGCTTCCTATCAATCAAGGATCCCCACCCACATGTCCCAAGGCCAACCTGATCTAGACACAACCACATTGGGACTCCCTTCCTGTGGGATTCTAGACTGTGTCAAGTTGGTAGTTAAGACTAACCATCAGAGCAGATCTCTCTGAGTTCAAGGTTAGCCTGGTCTAGGTAGTGAGTTCCAGGCATATGAGAACCAGTCTCAAAAAGACATAAATAAAATAACTGGACTGGCTTGGTGGCTTGGATTCCTAGCACCCACATGGTGGAAGGCTCCAGCATGCACATGGTACTCAGACAGGTATACACTGAGGCACACACATATACCCATAAAAAATGAGCAACAAAGGTTTAACCATTACAGGAAGGATGGACCAAAAGCCTCCAGGGAGCTCACCATTGTTCTCCTCTCCTGCTTGTCATTGTGCTGTCCCTGTACCCTGACCCCAGGAAGGCCTGCTGGAGGTCTTTCCTGCCCTGGTGGCAGCCTTGGAAAACTGTGAGTGGTGGTTTTCCCATGCAGAGCGAGAGCCTGGGTCTAAGGCAGATCTAACACAGTAGGCCGAGCCTTTGGCTCCAGACTTAGTACCAGCACACCACTCAGAGAGTGCAGAGGAGGGAGTCAGAAGCTGAAAATTCTAAGGCCAGATAGACTGGAGACCAAACTACCCTTTAGGTTCCATATCAGAAATGGATTTCTTGTTTGGGTTGATAAAAAGCCTCTTACTCTGGGGTTGAGGGGAAATGTAGAACAGGTTCCTTTATACTTAACATAGAACTAAGAGGAGAAAATTTTAAAACGAAAAAGACTTGACTAGGTGGCGTGCACACCGTAAGTCCCAGCAGAGAGGCAGAGGCAGGAGGATCACTAAGTTTGAGACCAGCCTGGTCTACAGAGTGAGTTCCAGTTCAGCCAGGGCTAAACAGAAAAACCCTGTCTCAAAAAAGAACAAAAGAAAGAAAAAGATTGTCTAGTCGCACCTCAGGTGGGGACAGAGGCATTTTCTATGTGGAGACTAGAAAGAAGCTTGGGTGAAGGAGTGTCAAGTCCAGACCCTGTCATAGTGCCACCTTGACAATAACTGGACCAAAGAATGGGTATATGACTGTCTCAAGGTCTCCACAGCTCGGCGTAATGTTCAAATGTCCTGGCAGCCTGACTGTGCCAGTGACCACTTGCTAGACCGGTGAGCACGCTGAAGGTCCAACCTGATGGCGTCTCCTCAAGCAACTAAGTGCCCAGCTCTATTTCTATCTTAAATATAAAGCTTCCAGATTTAGTAATACCAAGTCCAGGAAATGTAGTTATATTTGTTTGTAATAAACAAACATGCCTCCCAACTTTGTGTGGAGATGTGAACAGGAGCCCAGGGAGACAGTCAGATGACTCTCGAGGCAGAGGGATTGAAGGCTGCATAGGAAGGGCCAACACCTCCCATACTGTGCACCCTGCCCACAAGATCCCAAGCTGCAGGCCCGTGAAGATCAGAGTCTGGGCCCTATCTTCTAGGAGGCTCCAGGGCAGGTGTGTACTGGGCCCTATCTTCTCCCCAGCAGTTATGGATCCCAAGCCAAGAGAGTGGTTACCAGCTGGACATCAAGAAGAGCCTCGCTTGATTCCCACAGCAGCCCCCAGCTGGCCAAAGGACATGATCCAGGATCCAAGCAGTGGACATACCACCAGGTAGGATGCCAGTTGCCGTGAGTCCTGGAATCCCACTTAGACATCAGGTGCCCCAGGATCAGCCCCCACAGGCTGGGCATACTGATTTTTTTGTTTTTGTTTTTGTTTTTGTTTTTTGAGACAGGGTTTCTCTGTGGCTTTTGGAGGCTCTCCTGGAACTAGGTCTTGGAGACCAGGCTGGTCTCGAACTCACAGAAATCTGCCTGCCTCTGCCTCCCAAGTGCTGGAACTAAAGGCGTGCACCACCTTAGCCCAGTAGATATACAAGGTCTTAGAGGGCTCCTGTGTCCCAACAAAAGTGAAAGTGACTTCTCTGGGGCCTAAAACATGGCAAATATGCCTGGTAGGAATACCTGGTGGCCCATCAGTATGTCAGAGCCCAGGGACAGTGGGGACCTGCTGCCTTAGAGCCATCGTCATCAGACCAGATGTTTACTCTGCTGGCTTTGGTTTTGCCTTGGTTTTGTCAGGGACAGTGGGGACCTGCTGCCTTAGAGCCATCGTCATCAGACCAGATTACTCTGCTGGCTTTGGTTTTGCCTTGGTTTTGTTTTTTTTTTTAAGTTGTATTTATATTTTATATGCCAGTGCTCTGCATGTATACCTGCATGACAGCAGAGGACATCAGGTCACAATATAGATGGTTGTGAGCCACCATGCGGATTCTGGGAATTGAACTCAGAACCTCTGGGAAAGCAGCCAGTGCTCTTAGCTGCTGAGCCATCTCTCCAGCCCCCTTGGTTTGGTTTTTGAGACACTTTCACTGTGTAGCTTTGGCTGGCCTGGATATCACTCAAACCCACAGAGATCCACCTGCCTCTAAGGACATAGTCTGAAGAATCGCCAAGAAGCCAAACCTGATGGTGGACACCTATGATCCTAGTACTTTAGAAACTAAGGTGTGTGTGGTGGGGGAGGGCGGTCAGGAGTTTGAAGCCAGCCTGAGCTGCACAGAAAGACTTTGTCACAAAATAAAGAGGGGGAAGGAGGGGGAGTGAGGGAGGGGAAATGAAGGAAGGAAGGAAAGGAGCTCTGCTGGGGTGTTCAGGGAAGAGTGCTCTGCCGCAGCAGGCCCTTCACAGAGGGTGCCATGGAGGGAGAGACATTATTAGTACATGGCTCAGGCAGAGGTCAGGGTCTATAGACAGAAACAGGTCCCTGGAGTAAGACAAACTTTCTCTACCCCAGATGAGCACAGACATGTCCTCAGTGGATTGCTACTCTCTTCCACAATCTAAAGGCACCCCTCTGGGTGTCTCAGCAGCCCCTTCAGACTGCCGAAACCTCAGGGAGGGACCGAAACCTCAGGAACATCTCCTGCCCTGCAGTCCTCTGACCACATTAGCCCCACAGACGAGCAGCTTCAGGAAGGACGACTCAGTCTCTAGCACTGAAATAAAGCCAGAGTGTGCTGAGTGAGCATGCACTCCCGGACTGCACATTGGAGGAATGAGGCCGTGGCCCCATGGGCTTTCCCTGACCAGCCTTCCTAATAGACTTGAAAGATACTGACATTT